CAGTTCTTTTTTAAAAATTTTATATATATTTTTGCCCTCGCCGGAGGCCATTTTTTTCATTGCTTTCAGAGAGAGAGCAAGGGAGAGAGAGAAGCTTGGATATGTGAGAGGAGAATTGATTGGTTGCTTCCCATGCTTGCCTGGAATCACATGGACCCAGAAGGGGGCTTGAGCCCACAACCTAGTTGTGTGCCCCGGCAGGGAACTGAACTCCTAACCCTTTGGTTACGGGAGACACTCAAACCAGCTGAGCCAGGGCGCAGTAGAGGGGCAATTCTGACTGAGTAGATGGCCAGTCCATGGTGGTCATCTCTGCAGAGTGGGTAGAGCCACTTTTAGGTGTGGAGAAAACCCTGAAATTGACTTTCCTTAGTTTATTTACTTTTTGAGCATTTTTTTTTTGAGATGGGCTTACTCTTTTTAGGGAGATCTTGGAAAACTACTGCATGAATAATTGGGTATTCCATATTTAGAATCTTTGTTCTTGAGAGTCCAGGCAGCGTTGCTTCTGCTGAGACAGTGCAGGGTCACCGGAACATGAGCCTTGGAAATCCCTTGTTCCAAAGACAGCGAGTTATGTGATGGATGAGATCAAAGTACAGTTGAAAACTTTCTGGGAAAGACTCACTGTCCCAGATGCCATTAAAACCATTTGTGGTCCACGGGAAGGGGTCAAAAGAGCAACATTACCAGGAGTTTGGATGAAGTTGATTCCAATCCTATGCGTGATGTTGAGGGGTCACGACTTCCGTGGGGGACAGGAACTGCCGATGCGATGGAAACAGCAGGACTAGAGTCAGCGGTGGAGCCTGAAGGCGGAACTCGGTTGCTGCGTTCTCACGGCCAGACTTGAACGAATGGGGACTTGCTTCTCATGGCGGAGCCCAAGAAGCGGTCTTTTTGATGTGAAATCCACGCCTGCAGGAAAGACTGTGAAGAGTATTGAAATGGCCACAAAGGGTTTAGCATGTTATATAAATTTAGTTGATAAACCAGCAGTGGGGTTTGAGAAGACTGACTCTAATTTTGAAAGACGTTCTTCTGTGGATAAAATGCTATCAAACTGTCACGTGCTGCAGAGAAGAGTTGGTGCATGCGGCAAACTTCACTGTTGTTTTAGGTTAAGAAATTGCCAGTCACCCCAGCCTTCAGCAGCCGCCACCCTGACCACTCAGCAGCCACCAACATCGAGGTGAGACCCTCCACCAGCACAAAGATCAGGACTTGCTGAAGGCTCAGATGGTGGCCAACATATTTTAGCAAAAAACACTTTTTAATTAAGGTGTGCACACTATTTTTAAGACACAATGCTATTGCACATTTAATAGACTACAGTATAGTAGAAACATAACTTTTATATGGGCCACAAAGCCAAGAATTGCACATGCCTTGGTTTCTTGCGATGCTCATTTCATTGAAGTGGTCTGGAACCGAACACTCAAGATCTTCGAGGTCTGCTTGTACAGTCCTGCATCTTCACGACGTTTCCGTCAATGACATTCCGCATAGATGACAGTGGTCCTGTACGATCACCATGGAGCTGAGAAGCCTCTGTTGCCTAGTGACGTAGCCATGGTAACGTGGTAACACAACGCATTACTGCTGGAGTAAACAAACTGCTAGGCGTATGGAAGTAGATCACATACAGTTAGGTGCAGCACAGCGTATGAATCACGACCATTAGTGACTGTGTTTCGGTTTATGTATTTACTGCGTATCTTTGTCACCGTTATTTTAGAGCGCACTCTTTCTAGCTACTGAAACAATCACTGTGAGTCAGCGCACCATGCTACTTCCGCAGCGGCCTCTTACACCTCATGCTCACTGCACCTCCTGTGCTTGATTTAATCTCGTGCTATGTCATAACTTTAGCCTAAGTGCCCAGTGCTATAAAGTCCGCGGCTGGGTGCGGTCACGCCGGGACCCTGACACTCACCGCCCACTCCCCACGGACCCGCCCTGAGACGCTTCCAGCCCTGCAGGCTCCGTTCAGGCAAGTGCCCTTCACAGGTGCGTCCTTTGTCATCTGCTTTCTCGTATTTTTACTGCACCTCCTCTCTGTGTGGATCTATTTAGATGCGTAAATGCCACTGTATTACCGCTGCCCACCGCACTCGGCCCAGTGCCGGCTGCACGGGCTTGGAGGCCAGGAGCAACCGGTTGCACCACATGGCCCCGGTGGGCAGCAGGCTGTACCCTGTAGGTTTGTGTGAGCGCATTGTGCGGTGTTTGCATGATGACACAATCACCCAACGATGCATTTCTCCGGACGCAACCCCCTTGTTAGGCGGGGCGTGGCTGGGTTGCTTGCTCTGCTGGCACGGCCCCTTGGAAGTTGTTTCGGGCCGCTTCGGAGATCTCGGTCTCGTCGGCCCCTCCGTCCTCCGCCGTGTGGAGGCACTGTCGTCTACTTAACTGGCCTGCTGGGGGTGGGCATCGACGCCACTTCCAGGACTTGCTATTAGAAGTAATGCCACGCTGAGTAACCGTGTGGGAGGAAGGTGATGAGTAAAGAGAAGTGGCTCGTAGTCTTCCAGGTATGGCTGGTTCTCCTTCCCGGCAGCCACCTGGGCGAGCGCCTGGGGGTGCGGGGCCGCAGCAACAGGTCCGTGCCTATATGACCCCAGCGTAGCACTGGGGCTCGTCCCCCGCAGATCACACGCATACCTGTGCGCGTTCACACGCACGCCCTCCCCCGCCCTGGCGGCTGTTAGCGGCGGCGCCGGGAGCAGGCGTCGGATGTCTCTGCCTGGCTCTCTTCCACCGTCCTGTAGTCAGGGGACGTGGCGGGGGACCAGGGAGGGGCGCTGGGTAGGTTCCTCAGGGCAATGTGGGTTAGTCGAGGAGAAACAACGCCTCTAGTGACTCTGAGCAAGACACCCATTTTTTTTGTAGATAAAAGACACCCCTGCTTTTTTATCTACAAAATAGTGTTCCCGATATTCATAAACCAAGAAAAAAGTCCTCAGAGGCAATGTGTTACTGCTGTTTTTGTTGTTACCTTAAGGGTTAGGAGGTGGGGTGTGTGTGGGGGGTTCCCAGGAACCCTTGACATACAGGGAAACCCTGCAGTGGGTGGCTGTGGGCGGGCCGGTCTTCCTTTCCTCCGTCCCCGCCCCGGCCGCTGTGGGCTCCGACCCAGCCGTTGCGGCCCGACCCGGGCTCTGGGGGACTGGCTCTGGGCTGGGAGGAAGAGGGGGGCTTCAGACGTGAGTCCCGGCGTCCCGGCTCCAGCCCGGCACCACAGGAAGCTTGATATTGCGGAGCTCGAGTTTCAAGGTTGAACAAGAAAGGGTGCCTCTTCCCCTCGTTCTGTCTTTGTTGGCGCCGGAAAGTACAGGAGAGACATTATTTAAAAATGCCTCCTTGAAGACAGACTGGTGAAATGAGTTGTTACTTGGGTCAGAGGCCTGAAATTGCTCTTCCTTGTCAAAATAAATTGATTTCTTCGGCTGTCTGAACTTCATTTCTTGAACTGGGCAGGAGCTAACGTTGTCTAAATGAAACTCATTTTCCATTTATAAAACTGGGTCCCTCTGGGCTGCCTGAGTGTGCATCTGAGTGTCTTAAACCACACACGCGCACACACACAGAGACCACCCACCAGGGTCCCGCGCTCTCTTCATAAGGCGCCTAATTTAGCCAGCGTAGCGCGCAGCGATTGCGCTCACCTCTCCCTGGGCACCTCAGGTCTAGACTTGGGGACTGTTTCTGACCTTCTTGCCGCTGTCAGGCAGCCTGGGACAGGAGGGCATCGCCATGCCCCTGCTAGAAGGGCGAAGCGGGGAGCGGCCAGGGCAGGGGCAGGGTGGGGGAGGAGGGGCGTGGGGGAGGGGTGCTTGGACCAGACAGCAGGCCGCCGCCTGGCTCATGGAAAGCCGTCGTCACCGTCACCGAGCCTTTCTGGTTTCCCGCGGTGGGTAGCTTTGCACCGTATTAGTCTGAAGGTGTTACAGACACATTAGGGGTCAAAGAACTAGATTCTGGTGGTAGGAGCTTGGGAATTAAAAATGAATGATAGCACGAGTGGAGTGATTTTAGAGAAGTCTTTTCAGATAGGACGGGGCATCTCTGCTTGAGCGCCGTCACGCCTCCACTGGTGCCTTTGGCTGGGTGTCACTTGTGTGAGACACGCAGGCCACCAGGCGGCCTCACACCCGCGCTGCCCGACTCTCCGGGATGTGGGAGCCTGACTTCCTTGGGAAGCCCCGGGGGTTCCTGCTGTCTTTCCTTGCCCCCCCACCCCACTGGGTCGTCCCTAGGGATGAGAGGGGACAGTGGATCCTGACTTTCAGTCTGGCAGACACGGGTCCCCTCTGGGGGATCCGTGAATTTGAACGTGGCTTTTAGAATTTTCTGAAATAGAAAGATCTAGGGAAATGTCTTTCAAAAATGAAAATGGCGGGGGGGGGGATGGAAATTGTTGTAATACTGTATTTCTAGCGTTCTTTAGATATCTAAATACCATGTACATTTAAAAACGGATTGCCTTGCCCTGGCCGTGCGGTTCAGTGGGTTGGAGCATCATCCTGTACACCAAAGGGTTGTGGGTTCGATTCCCCATCAGGGCACACGCAGAGACTGTGGGTTCAAATGCTGGTCGAGGCTTGTATGGGAGGCAACTGATGGATCTTTCTACCCCACATTGATATATCTCCCCCACCCCATGAATTAAAAATACATCCTCTGGTGAAGATAAAAATATTTTAAAAATGGATTGTCTTTAATTTACCTTTTCAATAAATTGGTTACGCGCAGTGCATTTAAAGATGAAAAGCTAGAAAAATAATCAGGAAACAGATTGTTTTGGTTTTCCCCTTTGACAAAAGGCAGGCACAGTCTGGGCGGGGTGGCTCTCCCTCCTTCATCGCCCCCCCGCGCGCCCTGCCTCTCTCGCCTCCCGCTCTGGCCTCGCTCCTCGCTTGTCCCTGTCGGTGGGACCTCCTCCGCCCTGTGCAGCGGACGCACCAGTGACCAGGGTCTCCTTTTTCTCTTTGCAGTGCACAGAGGCCAAAAAGCACTGCTGGTATTTTGAAGGACTCTACCCAACATATTACATGTGAGTATCTGCGCTTTCCTGATGGACGCATGTTGCTCTGGGAATTCTAATTCTTTGATAGGACCGGTTTGGGGCCAGGGGAAGCCCTGTCTCAGGAGGCCTGCGCCCCCGCTCACCGGTGCGCAGGTGGCCGCCCTGAGGGCACCCGGCCTGCTCGGGCCGGCTGCGTCGAGGGCATGAGGTGCCAGGGCCGCCTGCTGTGACGCATGTGAGCTCGCGCGGGGTTGGGCAGGAGGGGAAAGGCGTGTGAGCAAGGCCAGAATTAAGTTGCTTTATATGGATTTCCCCAGGGCAAGGGGCAAGGGTTGGGGGAGGCGGATTTAGAACTTGAGCAGGAAAACACGCTCCAGCTCAGCTGCCGTGACTGTGCGCACGCGCACGAGCGCACGTGTGGTCTCAAAGATCCCCTGGCCCTGGGTCCCCCCCACCGACAGGTGCAGCCGCGGCCTTGCATGGCTCTTCCTGTGTCCTCAGCACCCACCAGTGCGGCTCTAGTGAAGCAGTGCTGCGCCTCCCCCACCTGTTTGTCCTGTTAGTTCCTGCTGTGTTAATCACCGGCTGTTCTTGAACCACCTGCCTAGAGGGCCGGGCTCTTCCCAGTTATCAACTATTATTTTCTGATTGTGTTTTAGAGTCCCATAGGGTGTGCGTGGAATGCCCCAAACCAGTTTCCCCTCAAGACTGTTATTTTTAGTATTGAGTTTTGCAAAACATGAGGCTTTTTAGTAATGCATCTAATATCCTAGCAGAAACACTCTTTATCCTAGTAGGTAGGAGAATTGGACAGGAAATATATAATAGTAGCCAAAAGGGTGGTATATTCATTGGCTGGTATGTACATTTTTCTTACCGGTCGTTCTTGGGGCGTTTCTCGCCTGAAGAGGCTGGTGCCGGCGGAGGAAGGGCGCCTGGCTGGGAGTGGGGCGAGCCCAGGGCAACAGGCGTTTGCCTGCCCGGGCGGTGTATCGATGAGCAGGGGCCGGAATGCCCTGCAGAGCGGGAGGCTTTCCCCTCCCCCCCCGCTTCTGAATCTTTAATAATCATTTTAATATTAATGTAGGAGACTAATACTTCTGTTACAGACTTGTCTGCAAAATAATTCATCAATATTTATTAGAAAACAAAATAATTGTATCAAAGGATACTTCTAAATAACTTAAAAGAAATCCTAGCATGAACGTGTAACAAAAAAAAAGAAAGGTAATTTTTCACATAAGTTCCCTGATAAAATAATTTAAACATGATTGATTCTGCAAGTCTTTTTTACAGTTTACTTTGGAAGTCATCAGAGGGGGTATTTTTTTTTGGTCCCCTGCCTCCTTTCTCTTGCCATTCCTATTTCTGGTCCTCCCAGTCTGTCCTGTTCTGAATGCAAACTGAAGACTTCAAGGTGAAAGGTATAATTTTGCTTCACACAAACCATGAGCTCCACTGTGTAGTGAAAACAAGGTAAAAACTGAGCAAAACTCAACTTTTCTCAAAAAATACAGGCCAAGGGGGAAATACAAATTAGGATATATAATAAGATGATCTTTGGAAAATAGATATTTTCTCTCTTTCTACTAGAAATAGCTAAATGCTCCATAATCTTTTCTGTTCCTTCCCAATTGCATGGTTAATTAGCATACATCCCAACCATGTGCATGAAAAATACTTTCTAAGCCAGAGCCGTTGAAATGGCTCCTTCGTCAGTGTTTTGGCCAAGGCGGAGGCCAAGAAAACACGATGTTTAGTCTCTAATTAGACATCCAGGAACAAGACAGATGTGATTTCTGAGGCTTAAGCCTCCATGACCCAGCCAAAGCCATCACATCAGCTGTAAGTCCCCCTCCGCCCCCCCAAAAGGGAAAAGAGTTCTGCTTGAGCAGACGAGGTTCAGGCGAGCTGCCAACAGCCCGGTTCCGGGTCCCCTCGGAGCACAGAGTCGCCTGTCGGGTCTGGAGTGGTCCGAATGGCGCCGAGAACTTCAGGACCAGCCAGAAAGAGATGCCAGCCCCAGCCCACGGAGTCACAGACACGACTGTCAGTACCGGACGACAGCTCCTGGCCGGTGGCCAGGTGGCCTGCGGAAACGGGGGATTTCCCAGAGGCGGTGAGGACGTGCCGGCCACTCTTGAGAACGAAAGCACAGAATGACTCAGGAAGTCCGCGCGACAGCATCCAAACGGGCCTTTCCGCCGGCCGTCGACCCCGATGCGGAAAGCCAGTCCCAAGAACAGGAAGGGTGCCTACAGCCCGGGGTCCAGAGAGCGGAAAGCTCGCGCGGACAGCCCAGGCTTCCACGTGCGCGACAGCAGGCCGCAGATGGCTCCCTGGACGGCCGACCGCAACCTCTGTCCTGAAAACCAGAGATGCCCTCGTAAGCGTAATGATAGAGCCAGGCGCGGGCCGTCACGGTCCAGGTCCTGCCATCCTTGCAGTGTGGTGCGGGGATCCAGCGGTCCTCAGAGAACATCTTGTCCTCAAAGCGTAATGTCTCAGCAAAGGCATGGAGCCAGCCGTGCAGAGACAATATGGGATTAAAATACATGTTGGACCAGACACGCGTGCCCAGGGGCTCCGGTTTTATATTTTGAAATGGGGTTCCGAGCCTTCCACAGACGTAGGACACGTAAAATAAGCAAGTTAACACCTGTCACGCCACACAGCAGCCGCAGAGCCCCACCTTACAGCAGCCATCCTGGGAGAGCCGTCAGAGCAGGTGAGGGCAGGGGCACGGGAACACCAGTGCTGGCCGACCGCGGGCGAGGGGGCCGCGCGTGAGTGCCCGGCTGGGCGCCGTGCCTGAGGCACGTTCTCTCTGACCAATCGACCGGCCCTCACCATCGAACGAATCCGTGGGAATGTCACAAAGCACCAGAAGCTGACGGCGTACGTGCAGGCTCGCTGAACACGTGTTGGTCCTCCCCCTCGAACTCCGACCTGGGGGGCCGCGAACAGCAAGCCGTGGCAGGGGGCACGGGTCCCTGCAGGAGAGGAGCCCTGGCCGTAGCCTCCGGCCCACGGATGTGGCCCGCCACGCCTGTGTCACAACCGGAAGTTTGCCAAAAGCGTGACACGTGAGACTGAGCTTCATCAGCGTAAGCTTCGACCAGGGCGCTAAGGATAAAGGCACTGGGGAGGGCAGTTAGCGTGTGGCGTCAGGTCCTGGTGTGGTCCGCCTCGAACAGCTGAGACCGTGCGCTCCGTGGCTGTTCGCTCCCGACAGAGCAGAACCGGGAGCGAGACCCCACCGATGGCCGTCGAACGATGCTGATGTTTCCATGAGGTGGGTCACAGGATCGTCCCAGCGGGTGCCAACAGCCTTCACAAAAAATGGCTCCAGTGCCTCTGCTGTCAGCTGTATCCACTTTGTTATCAACTGTTTGATGTCCACCTGCCGATGACTTGCTGTCCCTAGGGACCCCTTGGTCGGGTTTCCTTGGTCTTCCTGTCCTTCCGGATTTCACTGGCCTTCGACAGCCAATGGCTTAGCGACAGCTCTGCACCCACCTGGTGTCGTCTGGGCGCCGCTCCGCCCCAGGGCATGTGCTCTGGGTGCAGCGCTGCCCGGGGGGAGGGGGCGGGGGGGTGGCGATGGGGCGCTTTGTCTGTTTAAGCCGCAGGCTCTCGTTGAGGGTCAGCCGTGTGTCGGTCCGGGACCCCCTGGTGCAGGACAGGGAAGGGGAAGGTGCTTGCGCCCCGGGCAGCTGCGGTATAGCAACAACGTGTGTGGCCAGGTGTTGTTGGAGTACTTTCAACATTAAAAGTAAAAGCCCATGAGCTATAAGAGATCTCATTAAAATGAACACATCCCCAGTATGTTCTGCCTTTCACTTCTGGGCAAAGTGCTTTACATGAGATTTGGCAAAACAGATAATTTGTTCGAAGATTTGTTGACTCAGGTGACGTCCTTTTATTCTGTTATAGGGTTCTGTTGTTTGTTTGTTTGTTTTGCCCCTGCAGAAAATATATTCCAACTGCCACCTCTGTTTTGTCCTTACATTGGATTGGCCAAAAAGTTGCTTTTTTTTTCCCCCTGTAAGATGGCTGTAGTAGCACTTCATTTCTTTAACTTCATTTGAAACAATGTTGTTAGATTGCATTGGGACAGCTGTCATATCAGCGTGCATTTAAAAAATCTTGTCAAAATTGGTGAATTTTGGGGTGGCTATTTTAATATTGAAGATGGAAGAAGATACACAACGTTTTTGGATATTAAGCTTTTCTTATTTCAAGAAACGTAAAAATGCAGCTGAAATGCAAAAAAAGATTTGTGCAGCAAATGGAGAAGGTGCTGTGACTGAATAAATGTGTCAAAAGTGGTGTGTGAAGTTTCTTTGTACAATTGACATTTTGGCCAAATAATTCTTGGCTGTGGGGCTGTCGTATCCATTGGAAGCTGTTTAGCAGCAGCCCTGGCTTCTCCCCACTGGAATCCAATAGTAGGAGACAGACGACGTACTCAGAATATCCAAATCAATAAAGTTATTGGTGAAAATGAAAAACATGTCTTTTATTTTACGGAAGAAACCACGCAGACTCTTGGCCAACCGTCGTCTATTCGGGTTGCACAGAGGAGAGCGCGCCTGTCCCGCGCGCCTGCCCGAGAGATTTCAAGTCTTCTGCTTGAAGCCCGACTTCGTTTCTCTCGCCAGAAATCCCAGCGGCACTGCTCCTGCGTCTCCTGTCGCTGCGTGTTCTTGAATTTCCTTCCAGCGTCACAGCGATCAAGCCAACAGAGGCTACAGTTTCGTGAGACAGTGAGGTTTCGGCTGTAGCTAAATTACTCTCACCTGTTTTGATTTCTTTATGCTAAACGATAGCACTGTCTCTGCCCTGTCCCTCATCAAGTGTTTTAGCTTTTTTTTTGTTAATTTACCAATGTTGAGCTGAACAACTGCATACGTATATACGTACACAAAATCGTCTCCTTATTTTTTAAGAAAAAGGAGCTCAAACAGAGGAGCAACACACAGCTGAAACCTTTCTCCTGTTACTTTTTCTTTCCTCCTCCCCTTCGCTACCTTTCTCTCCTGTCTGCCTTCTGCCCTTTCCAAAGCTTTTAATTAAGTACTTTGAGTACTTCGGTTCAGGGCTACTGGATACCTCCTCTTAGCAACAGTGCCATTTAAAAGGGGCAGGGCGGTCACGGCGCCCCGCCTCCCCAAATCCACTTCCTTTGCTGTCCTCTGCCAGAGTTGTTCTCCACCTGCCTAGTCCTCCCGCTCAGATCGCACGTGACCTCAGGGACAGCAGCACAGCCTGGGGCGGTGGCAGCTCAGGGCTGTCCAGGCTGAAGGGTCTGCTCTCTTTTGCTGTTCTCTTTGCCTTCAGAATGTACTGCAGAAGAGGGGACACGCACCGGGGCGAGCCCAAACGCAGCTTCCCGTCCCGGAGCTCGCTTGGACGCGCCGGTAGCTGCCAGACACGCCGAGCTCCTTGTCCCTCACGGGATGACTGGGAGTGTGTCCTGCCATGGGCGGGGTGCGTGCACCTTGTGGAGAGGCGCAGTTCTGGGGACCCTGCTCTCACCAGCTGCCGTCTTCGTGGGTCACTTGGCCTTTTGCTTTAGCTGTCCCCTTGCAAAGTAGTGGTGGTCCCGGGAGCTCCCGGTTTCCGTTGCTGGGAGGGTGCGCACCTGCTCACGCAGCGCTGCTGCTTGCCGTCCGTGGCCTGGAGAGGGTCAGCGGGTCTGTGTCCGGAGAGGGCCAGGTGGGAGCCCTGGCTTTAGGCCCGGGGACTGCTGCCCAGAGAGCAGGGGGTGGGGCGAACGTGTCTCGCCGCGAGGCCCGCTCTCGGTGATTCTGGGAGGGAGCCTACCCAGCGCGTCTGCAGTGTCCAGCGGGTGGGGGCCCCTTGGCGCCTGAGTGGGTGCCCCCACGGCCGTGACCGACCCTGTTGTGGGCAGCGGGCGCCTCTCAGTCAGGGGCACTTCTCCCCTGTCACCGGGGCCTGTCCCCCTTTTTCCGCCGATTTGTAGCCCAAGGCTCAGCGGTGGCGTGGGGGCTTCCTGACAGCCAGGGGCACGGACATTTTTTTAAGACTAACTTTTTTGTGTGATTTTCAACAAGTCAGAGAAAGCTGGTGACTGAGAGGTGCCAGTTTCCTGTTCTTTCTGAATAGAAAGGAGTCTGGTCACTCCGCCCAGCAAATGGAGGGTAGGTTTCAAAGGGGCTGCATCTTCCTAACTAGATGCCAGTAAATCGATTTACATGAAACACGAAAGGAACCCAGAGGCCCCTGGAGAGCGGGCAGGCGGGGAGGTTTGACCCCTGAGATGCTCCTTGACTCACCTGTATCCTCTCCAGCCATCAACACCAAGAACATCTTAGGACCATCAAATGACACAGTTTTACAAATGACAGAGCCGGTAGTGGACGATGGGAAGCCACTTGCCCGGGTCTTGTGCAGGATGGGGCCACGTGCCAGGCACTGCCTGGATGGAGCGGGACCCGGGGCCTCCGGGTGCTGGGCGCCCTGTTTGCGCACTCACTGTAGTTCCGGGTTCGGACCTCGGCGCCGCGAAGGGGACAGGGCGGGGAACCGCAGGGTCAGCGGCACAGAGCCTCGAGGAGCCCACGCACTGCCCCGCTCCGTGGAGGGGACAGACAGGGACGGCCGCAACGACAGCCTTCGCTCAAATGTAAAAGGGAGATAGGACGTGCGAATCAATGAATCAGTAACAGAATTAGGGGACATGCCCAGCCGGGAGCTGCCTTGATTCCTCCGGCCTCCGTTGACCTCCACGCCACTGCTAAGGGGCAGGGAGCGAGCGTGGCGACCACGGGGAGTGGAGTGAGGGAGTGGGGCCCGCCCTGCAGGGGCCCCTCCCCCTGGCTGAGCCCCCCTTCCTGGCCAGGCACTGTGTGCCCGGGTCATCCCAGGCCCTATTCGCAAGTCTCCCCTTGGAGTGCGACGCTTCTTGTATCGCGCACTCGCCTTGCCCTGCCTGATTATGTCTCTCTGGGCTCCCTCCTCCGCAGTAAATAATTAACGGTGTGAGTGGGGGAAGCGTTGTTTGCGGGTGTCAGAGCGAGACACCGGAAGCAAGCTCGGGAGAGCCAGAGTCTGGCTGGGCGGCCGACCCAGAACTGGAGAAGCCGCGACTGGTTCCAGGGGCCTGAGGCTCAGGGCCACCTCTGACCGTTGGGAGACCCTGACATGCCCTTCCCTCCTGGCTGCGATGGCAGACCCAAGGCCTGGTGCCAGGACCCTCTGCCAGGGTCGAGGCCGGCGCCCCTCGGGGATGGGCAGGGCTGGAGAGGGTGGGCGTGGGGCAGGGCACTGCCCCCACGTGCCCCCTTCTGAAGCCCTGCCATTCTCCTTGGCCAGCCAGCTGAGCACAGCCTTCAGGGGAGGGCAGGTGTCTGGTCTGGGGACAGAGAATTCTAGAGCAGAATGTCTCTTCTCCCTCCGTTGTTGAGTTGATCAATGAAGAAGGTTCCTGCAGGAAGCTGGCGGCGTTTCCTTGTTCCCAGAATAGGGAGAAAGATTTTGCTGGTGATCGTTGCTTAGGAACGGTAGACGCCTGCTGTGGTCTGAATGTTTGGGTTGTGCCCCCCAGATTCATGTGTTGAACCCTCACCCCCAAAGACGGAGGAATGAGGAGGTAATGCTCTCATAAAGAGGCCCCCTGCGTCTTCTGTCATGGGATGACACAGTGAGGTGGCACCGGCGGTGGACCAGAAAGAGCGCTCTCGGGGGGCGTGACCCTGACCTTGGACGTCCAGCCCCCAGAGCTGTGAGAAACAAACTTCTGTTTTATAAGCCACCCGCTCAGCAGAGTTTTTTATAGTGGCCAGAACAGACTAAGACGATCCCTAAAATGTCGTCTTTCGAGATATATATATTCTGTAACTTGTCTTTTTCCCTTAACTGGCTTGTAAATGTTCTTCTGAATTAGCACGCACGGCAGCCCCGTTGTTTGCCGTAGCGACACGCGCTCCCGGGGGAGGCTCTGCGTGTCACGGCATGTTTCCCTGCCGGTGTCGAGCGTTCAGGTAGAGCCAGCTGCTTCTTGTTTTGTTTGTACTGTCGAAGGCCCCGCAGTTCCTTCTCTGTTATTCTAAGATTTAAAGCAGCATTCATCAATGCATTTTTTTTTTAATCATTCACTTGGCAGCAAGAAGGAATGTGATCAGACAATTATATCATCGTGTAAAAACTCCATTTAGTGAGTGGAGAGACCAGGCCCAACCTTCCTGTCTGTCCAGCCCCGGAAGGCCTGTCTTTAACCTCACAGGGCTGTTGTGTGCCCCGTTGGGGATCGCGCCCGGAGCCGGACCCACAGCGCGTCCCTGTCGGACTGCACACAAGGGGCGGGCGTCACGCTGCTCCTCGCTCGGGGTGCCTGCTTAGAAGGCATCACCCCGACTGTGCACAGGGGCACGAGTAGGAAGCGGGGTGCTTTGAATACATTGGCCGCCTCCGTCCGGCAACTTCCCTTTGGGCCCGCGGGCAGAGAGACAGCGGTCAGCGGGGCTCGTTTGGTGACGTGCAGCGGGGGCGTCTGTCCTTCGCGCTGACCCCCGCCGGGGTCTCGTGACGGGTCCGGCCTGTGACGCTGGGGTGCGGGGACGCAGGGAGGCTGACCGCCCGTGCCCTCTCTCCGCAGATGCCGCCCCTACGAGGACTGCTGCGGCTCCCGGTGCTGCGTGCGGGCCCTGTCCATCCAGCGGCTGTGGTATTTCTGGTAGGTCACACCCTTCCTGGCTGGCGGGCTTGCTCCCCACCCCCAGGGGCTCTGCCCACAGCTGGTGCCGACACGACCATGGTGACGTGACCTTCGCTGGGGCCGTGGCTTGGGACTGCCTCAGCAGGTGCGGCTGGCTTCCTGGCTGCATTCCACTCCCAGGGGGCAGCCGCTGCTTCCTGTGCCTTAGGCCGGGCAGGGAGCCAGGCCGGTGCTTCCGGATGGTGGGCGGGGCAGCCGCTCCTCGCCGGTGTCTGGACCGGCGGGCGCTGAATCGGGGAAGCCGCAACTCTTCCGGTCAAGTTCCTGCTGCCTCGCAGGCTGCCCCGGCCCACGGTGGCAGCGAGTCCTGACTCACACCCCCTGGCTCTCCTGAGCGAAGCTGGGAGAACTGGACGAAGTCTGTAAAGTGTCCGTTGAGAGGGAACAGCAGAGCAATACTAACAGTGTCCTTGAAGACGGGGGTCCGAGTCTCCGCTAACAGGAGGGACCCTCACGGCTTGCCCTCTCAGCGGCTGCCTGCCGGGGTGGGGGAGGGCACGTCCGAGAGTTTGTTCGACTGCACAGAAAGGCGCTGTGGCTTCAGACAGATGGCAGAGCGCGTGTGGGCACAGCCGTCCTTGCACCCACCGGCCCTCCCGCCCGCCCCTGGCGTGGGAATGCCATCGAGGCAGACCCCACAGAGGGTTCAGACGGCACTCGCTCGCTTCAAGACCTGAGCTTCGTTTGGACTCTCAGATTCTGCCGTTACTGACCTCCGAAGCCTTGAAGGCCTTTGCTGAGCATGTTGCAGAAGCCACTTGAATTTTTAGTGGGGTTTTGTCTTTCTCTCTTGACAGCTGCCCCCAATGTTTGATTAGAGAAACCACCAGTACATGGGACTCCACGTGCCACGCTGTCTTAACTAGGAGAGACTCCCTTCGTTGTCGCTGGCACCACCCTCTTCCTGGGGCATTGGCCGTGAGGGGGCTGGACTCGTCCGTCCCATCGGGCCCTGGCCTGGCCCCCGAGAGCTGGCTCGAGTGCCCCCCACCTCCAAGTCTCTGTTCGCGGCGAGCCCTCCGGAGCAGTGATGTGCTGGGGGCTTCTCCCACCTCACAGGCACTAGTCTAAAACTCTGTAGTCGAAGGTGACTTTTTCCAGCCTCGGAGTTTTGAATGTAAACACATTTGTGCACATCTCAGGGCTGAGGGGCCCGGGACCCAGGCCAGGTGGGGGGTGGGGGCAGGGACTGGGATGGGTGGCGCTTCCGAGCTTGGGTGGGCCCCTTGTGCGCTGTGCTCAGAGCTTTCTTCCGTGGGATGCGCGGTCGAAGGCACTGGGCTCTCTGGGTGCGAATTCTGAAGGGGTTGGGGACTGGGTCGGGTCGGTCTAAAGCAGCTGCCGAGTGATGGGGAGATTGGAGGCTGCTCCTGAAAAATTAAAACACGTGTCAAAGCTCAAGTGTTGTGTGAGTAAAAGGAAAAAGAAATAATCGAGAATCCAGGGGAACTGGGAGGCCCGGGCCCGGGGCAGCTCTGCCCTGGGACAGTTTCCCCGAGCCGAGAGCAGGTGCTTCCGGCTGCCGGCCAGGGCCCCTTGTCAGAGCCGGGCACCTGGCAGGTCCCCGGGAATGAGGGCGAGGCCCTCAAGGCTGGAGAGCCAGGTACCCAGGGTTTGGCCCAAGTGCTGGCATTGAGTCGGTGACACCAGGTTCCAAACCTGAGCCGGGGGCCTCGGGGGCCTGGCCAACGCCAGAGGGCGCCCAGCTCTGCTCCACGCTCCCTCCGTCGGTCGCCGCTGTCAGTGGTGTGCACCAGGGTCCCCTGGGGAGGTCCCTGCAGCGGCCGGGCCCCTCAGGGAGACAGATGTCAGAACAGGATCCCACGTGGACATGTTACACCCTGCTCCAGAAACAGCATGGAGCCTTGGCGTCGGGATCATCGGGAAAAGCTGTGACACTTCTGGCCCTCGGGGGAGGCATTGGCATGAAGGGGCCAGCACGTCACAGGGACGCAGGGAGGATGGGCCTGGCTGGGAGCGTGGGGGGAGGCCCGTGGGGAGGTGTCCGGGGCGGGGCCCGGGGACGGCCCATGGAGCTAGGCACGGAGGGAAGGAGGGGCTGCTCTCCGCTGGCTCCCGCCTGACTCCGGGGGACTCCTGCCCCTCCCCCTAAGGCCGCAGCCATGGAGGGTTGTGCTCTCGGGAGCCCCTGCCGCTCTAGACCCTGGAGTAATCTTGGACCATCTGGGTCTGAATGAGGTCATCAGAATTCCTATAAGGACAGCAGCGTCACAGACTCCCTTGCAAGCCTGCTCAGCTGCTTCGGGGACAGCGGGAGCACCTTCCAGGGGAGCTCGGAACGGATGCCCGCCTCCCGGGCCCTAGCGCACGCCTGCTCTGCCCCTGCCCCTGCCCCCGCGCCCGCCCCCGCCCGGTCCTTTCTCCCTGAACTGAGTTCTCCTCAAACTCCTGTCTCAATAAGGAGCAATCCGCTAACGGTTGTCACCTGAGCCAGTCTTGCCTCCAGCCACGTCCGACGTGTGAGGTGCAATATCATTTGTGTTGGTCTGGGGGCGGGGGTACATTTGGCAGGGAACCAGCATTCTGGCATTTCTCATGGGACCCAGGGCTCCTGCGTTTTCCATCCTGGGAGCAGCCCAGGTGTTATTTGAGGAGGGAAACCCTTAGGCACATTCAGGCGGGCTCTGCTTTGTGGTCGCTGAGCCTGCCTGAGGGAAGTTAGTTTGAAGAGAAGGAGCAGTTGTCTTTATCTGCTGGCACCTCACTCAGAGGTTATGGGCCTTTCAGCGTCTGCACAGCTGGGTTCCTTCGGTGCCCAGGGCCCCTCCCCACCCCCTGCTGGCACCTGCCCCCCTGCAGCTGCAGCGGCCTCCTGCTCACCTGGCCTCCCGCTCACCTGGCCTCTGCTCACCTGGCCTCTCGCTCACCTGGGTCCCTCTCCCCTGGGTCCCACTCCCCTGGCCTCCCGCTCACCTGGGTCCTGCTCCCCTGGCCTCCCGCTCACCCGGCCTCCCGCTCACCTGGCCTCTGCTCCCCTGGGTCCCGCTCCCCTGGCCTCCCGCTCCCCTGGCCTCTGCTCCCCTGGGTCCCGGTTCCCTGGCCTCCCGCTCACCTGGGTCCTGCTCACCTGGGTCCTGCTCACCTGGGTCCCGCTCCCCTGGCCTCCCGCTCACCTGGACCCTGCTCCCCTGGGTCCCGGTTCCCTGGCCTCCTGCTCACCTGGGTCCTGCTCACCTGGGTCCCGCTCCCCTGGCCTCCTGGCCCAACACCCGGGCTGCCCTACCGGCCCAGAAAGGGCCTTCCCTTCCCTTCCCTTCAGCTGGCCTCTTCCTTTCCGTCCTTCTGACTCAGCTCACACGCTGCTTTGAAGGAGAAGCCGTTCTTATCCCCGACTGTGACAGACACACTCATGAGACCCTCTGGTTGCCCTGAATGGAAGGCTTACAAATGGCCAGGATGGTCGTTTATTTGACCTCGAGCCCACAACCACACTGCTGCGCGCCTGGTTTTCTCTCTCAGCACCTATGGCCAGAAGTGTTAATAAACAACTTGGCAGTTGGTTGACTGCTGTTGCCTGGCCCAGTGGAAGCCAAGTTCACAGGCCGGGCAGGAGCTCTCCCGTCTTGCTCTCTGTAAGATGGCACCTGCCGGGAGCTCAGCAGGTGCCATGACGTCGCCTGGCGAATGGACTGGATTAGGAGACAGACCGACGCCCCGATGGGAGCCCTTTCCCGGTCCTTTCCTGCCTGTGTTCCGGGCTCTCCTCCTGGTCAACGTTCCTGGTTGTCCGTAAATAAATAGATACTGATGGATGGACAGACGTACACTAGCATCCTGTTAAGTGTCTCGAAGACTTTCTTGTCCACTCTTTTAAATGTCATTCATGTTGTGGACAGGCGTCTTTGACGGTGACACAGCTGTCTCTGCCGGGTGCTCGTTCTTCACCAGGCAATGTGCTGCCCACACACAGTGTGATGCATCGTGGGAGGTTCTGGAAGCTTCCACGGGTCCCATCACACATGTTCACACACAGACTGTCGGATGTGAAGGCAACGGAAGCCGTTCCCTCGTCCGCCAGCCATGTCCTGAGCGCCAGGGGGCCGCGAGTCGCTGAGCCTCCTCAGACAAGTCGCACGAGCAGTCAGCTCTGCTGCCGCCCAGGCCGCAGGGGTCGTGGGAGGAAAACGCTCGGCTGCTCAGAGCCTGCATCTCAGACCCGCAGCTTTGTATTGCGCGCTGTTCTGTAATCGCAGAGTGCGGTGGGGAGGCGCCGTTTAACTTCTCTGCGTGGATGTTCACGCACGAACGGAGGGAAGGCGCTAGGAGGGACAGTGTGCTCCCCACCGCCGTTGCTCGCACCGTGAAGGAGGGAACACAGAAACGGAGAGCGAGGCGAGGGCTGGGCGGGCCTAGGGCTCCGAGGGCCCGAAAAGGCGCTTCCTGTGGAGGCGGAACTGTGGAGGGGAGGCCAGCGGCCCTGCCAGGCCAGCTCGCCCTGTGGCCGAACGCTCACTTTACTTGTCAGCGTGGGGGGCCTCCGCCCAGTAGCACCCCCAGGTCGGCAGCCAGGGGTCGCCCTGGCATCCTCTACCCAGGGACGCCCTGGGCAGTCAGGGCAGGACCAGCCCGAGAGTGGGGGGCTCGGCCCACTCGGCTCCCTGCGCCCGGCGGCCGTGGCGCCTCACTGCTGTCTCCCGCCCAGGTTCCTCCTGATGATGGGCGTCCTCTTCTGCTGCGGCGCTGGCTTCTTCATCCGGAGGCGCATGTACCCCCCGCCGCTGATCGAGGAGCCAGCCTTCAACGTGTCCTACACCAGACAGCCCCCGACCCCGGCGCCAGGTCAGCCCGCCCCCTGTCCCCGCCCGCCCGCCGTTCCCGCGTCCTCTGTAAGCATTCGAAGAGGCCCCCCCGCCCCGAATGTGCTGGAAGGAAAAATTCAGGCCATGTTTCTGTGCTTTCTTTCTCTAACTGGGCCATCCACCGTAACCCTCCAATTTGAAGGGCTCGTTCTCCAGTCGAATATTCCACGGCTTGTACGTAAGCTCAGGAGGTGGCGCTGGTGTCCCCTTGGCTCTGGCGTCACTTGTATATCCTTCCAACCTTGTGCATAAAGTCCCCACCACACTGAATCCCAGACCAGCTGGCGGTGTCCCTCCGTGTCACTATTTTGCTGTCACCTGTGACCATCTCTTCTTTGAGGACGGAGGACTCCAGCCGGTCAAACCAGCAAGTGCCCCGTTGCGCCTGGTACGGAGGCTGCGCCCACATTGCAGGGCCTCTCGCGGCCGCCGCCCCCCGCTGCCCCGCCCATTTCATCGAGCACTGGGTGCCCACTGCCACCCCTGACTCTGCTCGGCCGGGCGGTCCAAGTGCTGAACAGACTTGTGAGGTCCCTGCCCTCGCCGAGCCTACAGCCTCCCACCTTCCCCAACATCCTCTCTCCCCTGAGTATCTGTCCCCGCACCCTGTACACGGCGCAGGCCCTTCCCCTCCTTACACACGCATCGTCCTGGGCCTGCAGCCCGTTTAGCTGTGCTTCTCCCCTCAGGGGTCTGCACCCCTCCCCCCGAAGAGCTTCTGACCCGCTGCAGCTGGGGTTTTGTGCAGAAATACCGACAAGAACCCCTGCACGCCATATTCACTGGAAGGGCGCCCTTCCGATGTTGACCTCTGTTCGACCCCGTAGACTGCCAGTCACGGCTTCCTTCCTCTGCCGCCCTGGCGGCTCCCGCCTCTCGATTCCAGCGTCTCCCGTCTCCTCTGCGTTCTTCTCACCTGCCTTAAATGTCGCGTGTTCTTTCCTGTCTTGAACGTCGGTCTTTCCCACCGCCCGCTCCTCAGCCTGTGTCCCTCCGGGCAGGCAGCCTGGGCCGGCTGTGACTCTCCCGAGCTTTGTTGCTGCTTCTGCACAGAAGACCCCCGGAGCCGCCTGGCCCGCAGCAGCATCAAAGGCAGGCAGAGTCCATAACGGGCGCTGCCCCCCGGCTCGCCTTCCGGTCTGGACGTGGGCTCGCCCGGGTGGCAGGAGGCCCCTCCCTGACGCACTGTGAGCCCGGCCAGGGCGGAAGGAGGCCGTACCTCTGGCTGACTTTCAGCGCAGGTTCTCAAAGGGCTGATTCCGGCGGGGAGCCAGGAAGCCCCTTCTTGCCTCATCGGCTGCGAACTGGCTTCCCTCGCTGTGGCCCCAATTTTCTTGGCCCTAAAGTGCGCATGGCCCTTGAGGTCCTGTTACTGTCCCTGCTGTCACTTCGCCACCCTCCTGAGTGGGGGTGCCCGCTGGTCATCCGCCCCCCAGGAGGTCGGAAGCTCCGCTTGGCCAGGGACCTGCTGTTGCTCATCACCTCATCCAGGTGCCCGCCGTGCTGGGGCTTGTTGGCCTGTGACGCCCACCAGCTGGGGACTGGCTGGGGCCACGGTCCCCGGGGCCGCCCGGGCCAGCGGTGCTCGGGGATGCGGGCAGTGGGGTCGCTGCCGCGCTCACACCCGCCCTTGCCTTTCAGGAGCCCAGCCGCCGGGGCCGCCCTACCACACCGACCCCGGAGGACCAGGGATGAATCCTGCCGGCAACCCCATGGCGATGGCCTTCCAGGTGCAGCCCCACTCGCCCCTCGGCAGCGTGGCCTACCCCCCGCCCCCTTCCTACTGCAACACGCCCCCGCCCCCCTACGAGCAGGTGGTGAAGGCCAAGTAGCGGGGGCGCGGCCCGGAGCCTGCCGGGGTGATGTGGCGGGGGCGACAGGGAGGAGCTTCTTCAGCCCGCCTTCTCCGTCCTTGTCGGCGTCCGCTTCCGGAAGGGCCTTCTGAGCCGCCGAGGGCAAGTCCCTCTCGGACGTCTTCGAGCAAGCGCAGCTTCCTTCCAGGTGTCCCGTAGATGCCCAGTATTTGAATTCGTCCCGTGTCCCTCTGTTGCTGATGTTGTCTGTGCTCTGGCAGAGCGTGGCCCGACCCCGAGGGTCGGAGCCTTGGGGCCGCAGGCCCGGGTGCTCAGGGCAGAGACTAAGGGGAGGCGGCCGGCGAGGGCCGCTGGGCGCGCACAGGTGAGCGCGGGGGCGGCCCGGCGCCCTGCCTGGGGAGGCTCCTCCCGCCGGCCGGCAGGCCTCACGGGTCAGTGGGGCCTGTGTCCTGTCTGTCTGCCTCTTCAAGAAGCTGCTAGAGAGACGTCTGGTGGACAAGAAGCCCCCACGCACCTTCCCGTCTCCATCACTTCCCGGAGGCGAGAGCGGCGCCCTTTCCACGCGGCCGGCCGGGAGCGCTGGGCATCGCCTTCCCCGCGGGGCGATGCGGACCCAGAACCGATGCGGACCCAGAACCGGGCCAAGGTGCGGTCGGCGGTTGCCTGACGATCCCCGAGGAAGGTCTTTTATGTTCGTGGGAAGTTGCTCCTTGCCTCAAACTGGGACATGCATTTTAGGAGCTCTTGGTTGGACTTGGGGGAAAAAGAATGTTCCCCCCTTTTTAGTGCTTTTATCTAAGTTTGTGTCGCGTCCTGTCCTTTGAGGTCTGACTTGAGTGTCTTAACTGAATGTCAGCAGCTCTCTGGTCTTTGATCGGGACCCGAGGTCTCCGCACCCTTCCCCAGGCAGCTCTGGCAGTGGGCTTTGATAAAGGACACTTTCCGCGCAGAAGTCCCGTCAGCCCCTGGAAGAGAGGCGTCTCAGGGGGCGTGGCCAGGGCTCTGGGATCTTGGCAGGTGCGTGGTGGGCTCTGAGGAGGAGCTTGCTAAGGAAAAGACAGGACTGCTGGCGGAGCTCTTCAGAAAGCACCCAACGGACTTCGCTGGCGACTCACTTGACACTCAAATAAAGAAGATGAGGTTGGAGATGTGAACCCTGCCTAAGAGACCTCTGTCACCCTGGGGTCTTGCGAGCCATCCCCAGGGTGGTTGACAGCGAGCAGGGGTCCTGTTCTTCTGCGTAGTTAGTAGTGGTGACAGTGTAGTATTCACAGCCAGATGGAGACCTGCCCGGGTCGGACGCAGGGAGGGCAAGCACGGTAGCCAAGACGCCTGGATCCCTGTATGTGTGGTGGTCGGACTGCAGGGGGCGGGTGGAGGGAGCCTGTTTTTGAAAGGAACTAACGGAGCATCTTGAGAAATTGGTACTCGTTCAGCTGGAGCATCAAGGCGTCTCACTGGAGCGGATCCTGGGTGTTTGCCACGCCCCGGACCAGGGCCTGGTGTCCTATGCTCTGGGGTGGCCCTGGGGGCGGAGGGGAGGCGGGCCGGGGCCACAGTGACGCTCAGACGGGGCCTCCTGGGGAGCTCCGCGGGGAACGCCTGGAGCCACACCAGCGCCCTGGGCGACACAGCGAGCGTGGGCGCCCTGCCCGTGTCTCTGACCCCCTCATGGGCCCTGTGAACTCCTGGCCCCAACCTCCCCACTCCCGGGCCCTCGCGTGAGATGAGTTGACAAAGCACAACAGTGGCTGTTTACAACCAACGACAACACATGGGTCTAAAAAGTTCCTCTTCCTCCAGGCCATTTGTTTTGCATTTTTAATTTCAATCCCTTTTTTTAAAAAAAAAAAATAACGGAGCACACTCAGAGCTGCCCTGCACCGGACCAGGTGTGGCCGAAGAGGCACCATGTGTCCGTGACAAAATCTCGTGTCTCTTTTTGACCACAAGTGGTCTTAGGAGACCGGGTGGTTTTGGTAGCCCCCAGCGATTTCACACTCCCGCGCGTGTGTAAGGTACGTTTTGTTGTCCCCTGCCCGTGGGCGGACCTCTTCGTGCTCGGGTGGCCTGTGCCCACGCTCCGGGTGGCAGAGCCGCGGGGGTCGGCCGTCGAGAGGAAACTCGGAGCCAACCGGCGTGTGTTTCTCCTCTGCAGCACCTGCCCGCGGCTCCTTCCTGTCCTTGTTAGGGCCCTGTGTCATAGGTGTGCGAAATAAAAATATATTTGGAAGTGTGCTTTGACTGGTTCGCTGGGGAGCGGGGAAAGAGGGCAGAGGGGACGTCCCAGTGAGGAAGCACCTTCCGTGGGTTGTGCCTTTGCCGGGTCCGGGCGGGCAGGGCGGGGTGGGAGAACAAAATCACCTGCAATCAAAGACTCCAACGAGGTTGTGGTTTACCAACACGTTTGACAAACCTAGCGGAGGGACGTTGCCGGAAGCGAGTGGGAAGTAACAAGCATCAGCTAGGTAACGCCTCAGAGATGGGAGACACTAGGGACCCTGGGTCCGGATCTGTTTCCACAGCCGCGCGCTGAGGCCGTAGCTCTGCTGGGTCAGAAACTGCCTCTGTCTCCCAGGTCTATTGCAGGATGTGTCTGCTACAGTGAGCTGCACTTTAGAGGAATCGGCAACGGAGATAATGTTTAAGCAGAAGCATTTAAAATGGGGCACCTGAAGCCAGGACAGGAGGTCAGCCAGAGGAGGTCAAGCGGCTGGCCTGTGGCTAAGTCGGCGCTAGTTTACACACCTTCGCTGGGCAGCCCCCCGCCACCAGCTTCCCCGGCGAAATGGAAGCCGGGTCGTTTACGAGTCCGAGGCCGTGACTTGAGATGAGGGCTCCCTTTTCTCTGCTTCCTTCACATTGAACTTCAAAGAGTCCACCATGGCCCTCTGGGCACAAAAGCGCAAGAAATGAAATTTTGAGTGGTTTCTGAGAAGAAATGGATCTGAGAGGGTGGAAGTGGAGTTTGTGCAGAAAAGATAGGGGGAGGGGGGAGAAGCTGGTAGAGAAACTCCACACTGAGGCCCGTGGAGCGGGGGTGGCCGTGAGCAGGTGCCGGGGTGAGGAGCCCACAGGTGTTCTAGAGACCAGCCGCGGGGGTGCCATGCGCCCATTGGCTCCCACCTGAGCCGGGGGAGAGGTGCGGGCTGGTGGCAGGAATCAGTGCACCTGAAGCTGCTTTCTCCCGACAGAGCATCCTGCGTGGCGGGGTGCTGGGGCATGAGCTGTTGACAGCATTATTTAATGTTGAGAAGCAGTCACAGGTGTCAGTCCCAGGCCCTCCTGGACAGCGTTCAAGTTCCGGCTGTGTCCCGGCCCTTCGGCTCCGTGTATCTGTCTGGAGGCGAGACTTGGGTTCCGGGGGCAGCTGAGGTCCAAGTTCTCTCCTCTAAACATGCTTTGGCTACATGACATGGGTTTTGTTCTGCTATCTCTGAAAAGCAACTCAGGATCTCAACAGGACAGGACTATTTTAAGTGGGTTCTGAGGTTACATATCTCTAGCTCTTCTCTTTTATATTCCTTTGCTTCCCCTCCCCCCCCTTAAACCCTGTTCTTTGTCTATACCCACAGTCTGGAATTTGCAGATTGCATCTGCATGGTACTTGTATTTCTTGTGAACTGGTAGTTACTGTAGATGGAGTGAGATCAGACTCCGGTCCCTGTTTTGTCTGGAAGGCGTACGTCAGAGGTGGCGGCGTGCATCTCCATCAGGGGGACCACGAGGTCCCCTTGTCGCCAGGCCGCGGTGATGGGCCACTGCTGGGCTCACTGGTGCATCAGGGGGCAGAGCTGCAGCGCTTACGTTCTCGTGGTCCTTGCACGGTACCGTAGATTGAAGCACTGAGAACCATGCTTGTCTGAACACGGTATCAAATGGGAATATAAAGCTGGCAGGCGTGATTTAAAGCTTGGATTCCAGGCACATCTTTGCTGTGCCTGCCCACTAAGCGTGAGGTATCCTGCGGCCGCGTTACTGCCCCTTCTGATGGCTTATCTTCCTCCGCTACCCTCACCCTTCAGCGAGAATGGGAGACAGTTCCATTCCACCCTTGACCTGAACTATCCGATGCTACCGCCATAAACCCAGGCTGGGTGGCATCTGTGCCCCACAGCTTAGCCATCGTTTGACCTTGGGCAGCCCTTCCCGCCCCCTCTGAGCTGCCTGACAGGTAGAGAAGTTGGGCAGAGAAGCCTCCACACCAGCTTATTTTATTTTGTATTTTATTTTATATTGTATTTTATTGCTTCCATCACCCCGCACAGGCTTGTCAAAGAGCCGAATGACATCGCCAAAGGCAATATGCTTATCAAGTACCCCACACAGTGCCCAGCTCATAAATGCTCGATGTTGTTGTTATACACTGGAAAGGACATGCTCGTAAGAGACTAACCCTGTGGAATGTGGGAGAGCCCAGAGTAAAGAATGTGGGGCGTCGTGGTGCCCTGTCCCTTGAGTCGGCCGCCCGGAAGGCTCCTGAGGACTCAGGGTGCTGCTTTTGAATGAAATACCGCAGCTCCCAGCAAAGCTGGGCCGTCTGTGGGTGTGCCCAGCTGAAGCTCAGCACCTCAGCGGGAGGGGCCCGCAGTTCCTGGGACTGGGATTCCAGAAAACAGCGGGTGTGGGGCTGGAGCCGCAGAAATCTCCCGGAAGCTGCCTTCCCCGGGGCGGGGGCGGGGGCGGGGCCGGCCTGCCGTTGGGAGGCAGTGCCAGCTCCCGCAGCAGCGGGCCACTCTGCCAAACCCTTTCCCCTGAGAGTCATCTGAGGTCAGCTACTTCATCCCCTAGGTGCTTTGCTTGGGTTATTTCATCTCATCCTCCCCACAGCCCTGGGAGGCGGAACTGAACGAGGCAACGGGGGCTCTGAGCCGCACCAAGGCCACCAGGAGCCACCCGGGCAGTCCCGCAGGCCCCGGCCCCGGCTGTGGGACAGGCAGCACCCAGGGCCTGGCCGGGGGGGGGGGGGGCGGGAGGTTTGGTCCCTGGCGGTTTAGACGCGGGGCAGCTCTGTGGAGGCCTTGTCTGCTATCCTGCCGCGCCACGGCCTGCCCTCCTTCCTAG